GTTCTGGATCTGGGATAGACTCGGAACCCCACGTATATGAGGAGTATACCTTCCAAATGTGCCAACAGATAATTCCAGGGAGGTTATGTTTAAAAATATCAGCCAAAGTCTTGGAACCTGCTTCTATCCACCAGAAGATAAGAACCTGTCTAATAGAAGTAGAATAAGGAATATTAATACCAAAAATCCCCATATAGTACTGCCATATCGTTTTTGAATAAGAACATTCATAGAAGATATGATCAGTATCTTCACCATGATTCTTGCAAAAGGGACATCTAGTAGGAAAAATAACCAGCTGAAATCTGTGAAGATTATCAGGTGTAGGAGTGTAACGATTAAGAAGCTTCCAAATAAACATCTTTACTTGCATATGCTGAAACTTGTTCCATGTGTGTTGAGAAGTGAATGTGACTGACTTGCTTTCCCTGATTTCATTGTAAGCAGATTTGATGGAGAAAGCACCATTGATACCTGGATCCCACACCAAATTGCCGTTTGATCCAATGGAGCAAAGGTCAGTGACGAAATTGTGGATCCCACAAATTCTTCTCCATACAGTAGAGTCAGTTACCCTAGGCCTCATGTCATCACCCCTAGGATATTTGGCTTTAATAAAATCACTCCACAAGGATTTGTGTGTTTTCCACTTCCACCAAATCTTCATAGTATAGGCCTTCTCAACATCAGCAAGAGCCCTAATTCCTAGACCCCCTTCCTCAACAGGATAACAAAGCTTGGACCATTTAGCCCAATGTGCCTTATGTGTAGTGTCAGTTGAGCCCCATAAAAAAGATGCCATTTTCTTCTCTAAGGTATTAATTACCTGTCTAGGGAGCGTGTCTGTAGCTAATATGTGATTTGGAATAGAACTGAGCACATGTTTAATTAGAATCAACCTCCCACCTTGAGTCAAGTTTTTTTGTTTCCATGAGGAGAGCTTTGAGTCAAAATGATTAATAAGCTGAGTACAATACTGAAATCTGTTCATCCCTTTATGCAGGAAAGAACCCAGATATTTTAGTGGCAGATTGGACCTTCTCATTACGCCTTACAAATACACGTATCTGATCTTACACCACAATGCTTATACATACATATGTGGATAGATAGGCACGTACTTTAGTTATTCACTTATAGATAGCTTGTTAGTCAAAATTTTCTTACTACCAAAAATAACTTTTTCATAATTATCAAGAGCAGTTACAGAATTTATGTAACAATTTGATTACACTTTCTGTTGGGTCTCTACTTCTTCCGACTAAAAATCCACACAAGTATACAAAAAACACAACATAGACCCAATGTTCTAAAAGGCGTAAGGCGTGCCGAGGCGGCACGGCCAAGCCTTAAGCTTTTGGAGCTTAGGCGAGCTTAGGCGGGACTTAGGCGTGAAAAGGCGTTTGTAATTTATAGTATTTATTTGAATTTTTCTAGAAGTATTGAGAGTATAAATGTGATATGTGATAATATCATACAAAAATAACATATTTTGAATTTCCCTTTTAAAAAAGGCTGAAAAATTAGTTGAAAAATAAAATAATAGACTTTTTATAGTGATAAAAATATTAGTAGTATAAATATATGATTGCGTGTTATTATAGTATCATGTCATGTCACTTAAAGAAATAATGACCAAAATAATACCCCTAAGTATTGTAAAGACAAAAATAGAAGTACTTTTAAATCTGGACAAAAAAGAGACTTATTATATGTAAAGGGACACAAATACCCTCATATAAAACAATAAGAAACACTAGCATTTCACTCATTTCTCTTGCTATCCAATGTCGGCTGCTATCTTCCAAACCAGCGGCAAACGAAGGAAGCCTACTTTGGTCTGGGAAGCTACGCCGTCAGCAAGCCACCGGCCAGGGGCTGCCGCTGCCGCCTTGCCTCAATCGCTGCCGCCCAACTTCAATCGATGCCACCCAACTTCAATCGCTGTCGCCCAACTTCAATCGCCTCCGGCTTCAATCGATGCCGCCCGGCTTCAATCGATGCCGCCCTACTTTAATCATCGTGTCCATCTTCAATCACCGCCTCCACCATTAATTCTTTCTCTTCATTTCTGTCCGATGTCCGTCAGTGGAGGCGACGAAGACACGACGGCGTTAGGGTTAGGTCAATGGAGACGACGAATAGGGTTTCTGGGGTGGGATTCGCGGTTGCAAGGGTTAAGCAGAGAAGGAGGGATTGGGGCGGTGCCAGGCGGTTCGAAGAAGCAGGCATGTTATTGGGCGGCTATCTTACAGGTGATTGGGGTGGTGGACTGGGGATGACGGTGGCAGGGTTTAGGGTTGGGCGAGGCTGGAGAGGTTTTTTTTTTTTGTTGGGGCAGGGGCTGGGGGCAACAGGGGAGCAGGGGTGGGGCTCTGGTGGATGGCTGTTACTGGATGGGACGGTGGTCACTGTGCCTCTCTGGCGACGGTGGTCACTGTGCCGGTCTAGCGACAGAGGTCACTGGCTGGCGACGGTGGTCACTGTGCCTGTCTGGCGACGGAGGTCACTGTGGCCGTCCGTGACAGAGGTCACTGGCTGGCGACGGAGGTCACTGGCTGGCGACGGAGGTCACTGTGACCGCGGCGAAAGTCACTGGCCGGCGGCAGAGGTCACTGTGGCTGGTGGCGACGGCGGAGGTCACTGTGACCGGTGGTGGCGGCGGAGGTCACTGTGGACGACCGACGGAAGTCACCGTGGACCGACGGCTGATGTCACTGGCTCACTGTAGATTGGCTGAAGGTGTCATTGTTACAACTAATTAATCGTGGGTCATTTTGTAATAATAAATCAAGTGGCAGGGTATAATGGTCTTCTTAATTATGTTTAGTCTCTTTTTTGGAAATTCATAAGCGAATGTATTTTTATGTCCATTTGTTGATTTTTACTTTTATTTTTGTCCTAACCCCTCACTTAAATACAAAAATTGAATATAAGTTACAATGACTAAAGGTACACTTAAAAGTTCACATTCTTTTAAACAATTTTTATTTTAGTCATTAATATATAAACATTTCTAACAATAATAATAGTCAATTATCTATTGGTCTGATTACATTACTGTGACACTTCTAAGGAAGATGTCACATGTTCGAATCTCATTCCAATTCAAGGATGTTGACCTTAATACGGAACATATACTATAACAGATTAGGAAGCATTGCAAAATAATAATAATAATAATAATGTTGATGATGAAAATAATAGATTGCAATTTATTTAATTTGAGCAAGTTTAGACGTTATGAATTGTTGATAGCATCCCCTATAATATCTACAAATGGTGTTCCAAGTTTATCCCAAAAAAAAATACGAATGGTGTTCCAAGTGTGCTGCATGGCTGAACCTTATAATTGTTTCCCACACCGGTCGAAGTAGATGTTTCTCATTCCAACAAAGCTATAAATAAGAGCTCTTCTCGCATTCTTTGTAAGGCAGTAGACCTCATCCTTGTCGACGGCTGCCTGTGGGCTTGATAGTTAAAAGAATGGGCTGACCCTCTGTGGGCCGCCTTTCAATTCTTCGCGCATTTGGGCAACGCGGGGCGTTTAGGTGACGCCTTGCGCTTAGGCCCGCCTAGGCGGCGCCTTTTTAGGCCTTTTAGAACACTGCATAGACCACAGAGGCTGCCCACACAATCACCAAACCCTAGCCATCTCAATGCTTGCATAGGGACAATGGAAGAATGCGGAAGAAGAGAGGCCAATCATGCACAAAGGGACAAAGGAGGGGGTCGACGATCTGTACTACCTCAGTACTCTCTCTTCTCACTCTTTCTCTCACTTAGGGTCACACCGACAAATGTCGGGCAAAGAAAAAATCAAAGATTATATAAGGGGTCAAGGGTTGAAATCTTAATAGAGAGTTACTCTTTTCCTTTCTTAAAACTTTGCTAACTTTGACCGGTACAAGAATTAATAAAGTAAAACTGTGTGGTAGATGTTTGTGTAGAGGAGAGAGAATCAACTGGAATCACAAATTCATTACTTAAAAAAGAAAATGACAAAATAAGTGAGATAACAAAAAATAAATGTTGACAAGTTGAAAATGAGCCGCATGTCTTGGCATTGAGTCAATACCTTAGCACTGTCTTTCAATAGATCGAACTTTACTACATAGTACTTCTCTCTACTTGTTAATTCTTTATAATGAATCATTTGATGCTTTTGTAGAAAGTGGAAACAATCAAATTAGAACTTTGATTTCTAAATTTATTTTCTCAAATGGATTCTAAACATGGGGTCATCAAATTCAAGGAAACCCCAAAATTAATAGAAGTGTCTGTTGGTAGATATGAAAATACCCCAGGTAGAAAAAGTGACAGCACTTCAGTATAGTAGAAATAACCTAGGGAATACATGTAGGGTGATGGCTTATTTATACTTTATAGGCATTCACTACAAGTCCAAATAATAATGCTATGTGGGCTTGGCCCAGTTTAATAACTAGTACTACTGACGCTAACGGCCAGCAAGCCCAATATATAAGTAAACAAGCTCGGATCAATTTCCGCTAGCCGGGCGGTGTCCTGGGCCTGGTCGGGCCTAGGCTTGGGTCCAACGGGCCGATAGTACTGGTCCCGGCCCATTATCCCAACAGTGTCAATCTTGAGCCAAATCTTTTTATTTTTTGTTTCAAAAAGTCCAAGTGTTTGTGCAAAGGCTCGAGAGAAGTTGTTCCAGCCGATGGAGTTGACTGCATGCATGTTCTTAATTTCCCCCTTTATATATAAATGGTACATTTGGATAAATGTAATATCTTTATCATATCCTATATTATTATAATATCATCTCCCCTATTTTTAATCCTTGCTCTATTTTTGCGAAAAAAGTGCCTCATGCTATAAAAACGTTCCTTATCCATAAAATTTTCAAGGCTGTCATAGAAGTTCAAACAAGTAACGGTTAGAATTGAAAGTACATGAACTTTGAGACCGATTTTCATGCCCATGCAACCATATATCCATTCATCAATCATCATCTTCCATCCAATCCTATAAACATATCATCCAATCCCCCTCCTCCCATTCTCTTCCATTACACGAAATAGAAATGTGAAATAAATGAGTACTAAAATTTTATCACCCCCAAAATATTTACAAATACATATGTATGGTATATATCCCTTGTAGATTTATAGAATTATTATTATTTGATTAAAAACACAAAACCCTCTTCAATATATTAGGTCAAAGAAAAGATGGAGACCAAATCATCAAGAAGTGGCACATCCTCCCTCCAAGTCGACCCATCTTCGCCGCCGCCGCCACCGGAGCATACTCCGATGTGGAAGCTCGTGCTGGTGGCGTCGATAGCCGCCGGAATCCAATTCGGGTGGGCCCTCCAGCTATCCCTCCTCACCCCTTACATCCAGCTTCTTGGTATCCCTCATAAATATTCCTCCTTCATTTGGCTTTGTGGGCCCATTTCCGGGTTGATCGTTCAGCCGCTCGCCGGGTACTACAGCGACAATTGCACCAGCCGGTTTGGCCGCCGTCGGCCCTTTATCGCCGGCGGGTCATTTCTTGTAATCTCCGCCGTCATCCTCATTGGGTTCGCCGCTGATATTGGCCACGCTGCCGGTGACCCCCTCGGCAAAATCTTTAAACCCCGCGCCATTGCCATTTTCATCTTCGGCTTTTGGATCCTCGACGTTGCCAATAACATGTTACAGGTAATATAGGTCGTACATTTATTTATTTGGCCCTCAAAATTATTTATAATACGTAGTATATAAATGTAAATATGTACTTCAATTCGTATATACTACGCATGTTATAGGGAAATTTTAAGACAAAATGCTATTGGTACACACATTTTATACAAATGTAGACCCCTAATCGTGTGTATATATATATAGACAAATAACTAGAAGAGGTGTACAACAAAATGTATGCTAATAACACTCATATATGTTGGTAAATTACATACCTAAAATGTGCGTATATCATGGGATTATGGCACCATTTTCTTATTTGATTATGTATGAATTATATTACGTAATTGTAATACTCCATGCATATAATAATTCGTCCATATATATCATCACATGTGTGAACTTCAAGGGTTAGATAAAAATGGTCGATCAGATGCTCTATAGAAGTTGAAAACTTAACATTCTCACCCACAGAATTGATCAAAATTTTACTCAATAGAAGACACTCCGTATGTCAAAAGTGTTAATGTAACATAAAAATAAGTCTTTTGGGCCTTCTGAGCCCTCGTGGCGGGATACATGCATCATACTCTATATTTTAGTAGTAAATATTGTTATGTTAATGTCTAGTATTATAATCATGTTAACACTAATGATTCCAAAATGAAAATAAATACTACTCCCTCCGTCCCACTTTAAGATTCCCACACGATTTACGATGTTTGACGGACCATAAAGTTAACTGATCCCTGTCATTAATAGAAATATTTTTAGTAAATAAAATTTACATATTCAGAAACTAAATTAAAACCGCTACAAAACCTGCAAAAAATAATTTAAATCTCATAAACTTTCGATATATAAAGTAAAAGATTAAGAACAATGTACGTTGACTGGAGAATAGTGTACATGAACCTTTAAATGAGACGGAGGGAGTATACGATTCTAAGAATTCGCAAAGATTTTTATTTACTTTTATGCACTATATATTTAAGTTTAAGCAAAACTAAACACTTTTTCCATGATTAGGGTCCATGTAGAGCGTTGCTGGCCGATCTCTCCGACGGGAGTGCGGCAAAAACAAGACTGGCGAACACCCTCTTCTCCTTCTTCATGGCCATCGGAAACGTCCTCGGTTACGCCGCCGGCGCCTACCCCCGCCTCTACAAGATCTTCCCCTTCTCCTTCACCACCGCATGCGACGCCTACTGCGCCAACCTCAAGAGCTGCTTCATCATCTCCGTTCTCCTCCTCCTCACCGTCTCCGTCCTGGCCTTGACCTGCGTCAAAGAGAAGCAGTACGTCAAGAGCAACAATGGCGGCGCCGCCGACGTGGCATTCTTCGGACAAATATTTACAGCTGTGAGGAGTCTTCCCAGGCCCATGCTTATTCTCCTACTCGTTACTGCCCTAAACTGGCTTGCATGGTTCCCTTTCATCCTGTATGACACGGACTGGATGGGCCGGGACGTGTACGGCGGGCACGTCGACGACAACGGGCTTTACGATAACGGCGTGCGTGCCGGCGCGTTGGGGCTCATGCTCCAGTCCGTGGTGTTGGGGGTTATGTCCATTGGGGTGGAGCTCCTGGCCCGCCGGATTGGTGATGTGAAGAAGCTTTGGGGCGGGGTTAACTTCATTTTGGCCATTGGTTTGGCCATGACGGTGGCGGTTACGAAAGCGGCGGAGCACTCGAGGAGGCACGACGCTAGCGGCAATATTCTTCCGCCCAACGCCGGCGTTAAGGCCGGAGCTTTGACTATCTTCTGCGTTCTTGGTATTCCTCTTGCGGTAAGTAGGTCCCGCCTTGTAGTCAATCCCTTTCTTTGACCATCATTTTTGTTGATGAGAAAATTTCTAATAAGACAAAAACATGAACAAACTACGCATATGACTATTTTGTTCCTAAAAGAGGACTTCCTTTCAAAAAGAGAGGACCTTTTCACTCTTAATGAGGAAAGATTATACTTTTTAATAGGATTAAATAAGTATTATTTCTGGAATAAAATACATGTGATCGTTTTGTTTAAGTTTTAATCCCATTTAAAGGAATTTCTATTTGTTTATCTATTTTAGACCGGACTTAAATAAAAAGATCACACTAAATCAGACTTAAATTAAATTTTGACAATTGTAAATTTAGAAACCTTTTAATTAAATTTATATGCTACCAAAGCATACACAAAGTTCAAATAGAGGACTTACTTAATCTTAATTTATGTAAAAAAATGTATGTTTGCAGGTGACTTATAGCATCCCATTTGCTCTAGCATGCATCTTTTCAAGTGATGACGAAAATGCTGGTCCTGGGCACGGTACGTAAAATCCTATAGTAGATACATATATACATACTCATATATTATATTTATTCATTTTTATCATCATCTAATAATTTTGTATCATAAAATTTCACCTATGTACAGTTGGCCTCTCTTTGGGAGTTCTCAACCTTTCAATCGTTATGCCACAGGTGCAACATTATCCCAATTTAGTTTATGAACGTGCATTTATATGTACAAATTATAAATCATACTACATTCGTCCCAATTTGATTTGCAAATTTTACTTTTCTTGATTAAACAATTTCATGTTATTCGTTTAATTAGGATGTCAATTTTTAATTATATTCTAAATTGGAGTTTGCAACTTTAAAGATATTTTAATCTAGTATCTGAACATGTAAATTTTAATTATTAAAAATTGAATTAATTATCAATAAAGATGAATGACTTTTTTTATTAGTTGACAAAAAAATGTTGACTTTGTAAAACAATTTGGAACGGAGGGAGTACGTACTATATAATTCGTATATCAATTCAATTATTATTATTTTTGCACAAAAGTGGTTTTCTTTAATTTCTCACCTTAATTTGTTCATTGAATTCGTAGATGTTCGTATCATTCTTAAGTGGGCCTTGGGACTCGGTGTTTGGAGGAGGCAACTTGCCGGCGTTCTTAGTGGGAGCGGTGTCAGCGACGGCGAGCGGAATATTAGTTATAACTCTTCTACCGAAACCACGAACGGATGCAAATGTTCCGATTGTACCGTAGCATGGGGATGTACGGCGCCGCCCGGCCGCCACATGCGACTGTGTGAATATGTACTATTTGTATTGTATATATGATGATAATGTAGAGGAGGATAGCAAATATGGGTCATGCTTAATCACATTTGGAAGGATGGATGCTAAAGTTGAAGTATATATTTGTTCCCTTTGGTTGAGATAACACTGTTGTGTGTATATGTTTGGGATTCAACTCTAATGATTCATAGAGATTTATTTGGCTGATGTTAGCGTACCGATCCTCATATACTATGGTATAATAGAAATGTAGGTATATTTAGTAGCAAATCTCAGAATTCTTAAGCTATTACAATGACATACTACGTATATAAAAAACAATCCAACGTGAACTGAAAATGAAAATGCAAAGTTGAGACACTTCCAACATCTTTCTCCCAAACCCGGCCAATCCCAATTCCCAATTTTCCGCCTAACCATCCTTTTCCACCATCAGCTAGCTACTACAAATAGTTCAATACCTTCTAATAAAACTTTATACGGTTATATATTTAATTCTAATTTTAATATTTGTTAAGATTTGAGATTCCATCCTAAAAGGTCAAGTTGATAAGAGGAGGAACCTAGATCTTAATATGACCACTACAAAAAAATTACGGGATTGACACGGAATTTGGCACGGACTTACCGATTTTTCGTGCCAAATAGCTTGTCCCATTGTCCCAAAGTGTTTTTGGCACGGATTTGGCATATTCCTGCCAAAATTCCTGCCAAAATCTCTGTCAATCCCGTGTTTTTTTTGTAGTGGACGTTTAATTGTTCAAGACATATCCAGTGTGAGACAACATTATTTTGCTCGGATTCCTATCATTACTCCCCTCTTTGACAACCGTCTTGTCCTCAAGGTGGGAGTTCAGACACAACATTGACCAATAGCTTCATCCTTACTGGTTTCTGGATCATGAGCTTGTGAATCTTCCTCATCACTCTTTCTAGCAAAAGAATCAATACTAAGTTCTAACTGTCTTCGCAGCATAGAGTAAAATAATTTAGAGAAATATGTTGATCTCTCATGCGATAAGTTCCTAAATACTTGCCAAAACGAGCGAGCGTACGACTCCCTAATCTTTACTAAGCTCTTAGCCAACGATTAAGTGTGTGTGAAAGTGTCCTAGAATAAATTAGACCTCTCTTAATTTATTTTATGTGCAATTATAATCCTAATGGCCTTTCCAGGTTACAAGAGATGTCAATTAAATTATTCAAACACAAATTAAATAAAGAACATGCAATTAAACCATCAAAAAATTAATCCTATATCATGATTAAAACCCCATCATCAATCCAAAATCCCTAGCTAATTAAATCCATTCACAATTCATAATTGAAAAATCAACAAAATTGAGAAGAAAAGAAACAATTGCCATTATTTAAAAAGATGAAACTTACAAATAATCTCAGAGCTTGAATAACAAAGCGGAAAAGTACTGAAAAATTTGTCCTTGGCCTCTATTTAAGCTTCATAACAGAAACAAGGAGTTACAGGCCGTGTAAATAGAAAACAGTGGAATCCGGACCGAAACGGGACAACAAGGGGGCACGCAAGGAGCCCACGCACGACTTGCGTGGCGTCTATGCGCCCGGAGTAAAAATGCTGAAAAATTGCTACGCACGACGTGTGTGGCCTCCAGTAGCCTTTCAGTGATTTCTTCTTCCGCACATAGCGTGCATGCGTCTCTCCCATCCAAATTGGACTATGCTTGCTTAACCAAAGTTGTAGATAATGAAATCCTTTATCCACCACAAATCGCAAAACTGGAATTTGATCATCAAATCAAAAGATATGAATAAAATGGTGGAAGGTTGCATCCTAAAATATCAACAGCGATTATCTAACTTCCTCGTCCGTTTTCACCTTGATCCTCTCCCATTCTCGTTATGGTGTCTTCATAAGAATTGTAACCCTTTAAGTTATGTTTCATATGGAACTTTAATATCAATATTTGAATGTTTCTACGAAAAGATATGCTTGAACGATTGACATAGCGTCATCATGATCACCGTTTTCAAGTTCTATTCATCTCAGTTTGATCTCGTACTTGATTCTTGAGCTCCCTTGACTTCAAGATCACTCCTTTAATGATTCATGGACCCTTAATACTTCTTAATAACTCTCAAATGTGCCTCGAATATTCTCAAATAATCCTGCAACGTTGGTGTCAGGCTTAATCTCCCGATTTTAATTTCAAACGTTGGTGTCAGGCTAATTAGGCACTTTAATTTGTGACACATTTAAGCTAGGAAAACTAATAAAAACCAATCCCAACACAAATCAAATGTGTGTCGAAATATGGACTTATTAGCCGTCGCCACCGCCGGAAAAATTCCAGACTTTTTTTCTGGCGGTTTGCCAGCATTTCTGTTTCCGCCGGAGTTTGCCCGCCACAAGAATCATATCTTCCACCGCCACTACTGCCGTGGCACCACCACCACCGGACTGCCCCACCACCAACATACCGTCTTGGTTGTGCAAGAGAATTAGGGGGGAATTAATTGGGTCAAATAATCAATTACTTCAATTAGGGGTAGAAATGGAATGATTAGTTCTATTTAGGGACAATCAACCATTATGTCCTATTTTTTGAGGAGCCTATGTTTAGTCATAACCATAACAATTTTCTCCCTATTATATGAGTAGCCTTCTTCTTCTTCTTCTTTGTGTAATAAGCCTTGTGAGAAATGAGAGAGTCACACGTGTCTTCTTCCCTGTGAGACGTGACCCCTTTGTGCGGGTAGAAGAGCGAAGTGGATATGTGGAGAGGTGGAGTGGTATAGTCCTAGAGTAGTGTGTGTGAGTCTCAGGGTCGTGCCTTATTAGAGGCTGGTGAGGCAAAGGCCTCAGGGCCCCAAAAATGTTGAAAATTTAGGGGCCCATAATTCAAAATATCTTCCTTTTATTCATATGTATTTAAATTATAAAAGATGTGTCTTGCTTTAAATTCTATGTGCTATTGTGCTTCAAAACTAAAATAGTTGAACAAGCACCAACAAAGTGAAATGGAACGGCTGAACATAAGTTTTGACTTTTGAAATTGTAAAGATAGAAAGATTATGGCCCTAATTTGAATTTGTTTTGCATAATGAAAAAGTTTTTTGTCTTAATCGAGTGCTGAAATTGCTCCCAGGGTGATTTCTGATGCCATTGATTGATCCCCTTTTTTATTTTTGCAAATTGATTGATCCATGCTTAGAAAATCGAGCTTGTGTTTAATTTGGCATATTTAAACGAATTGAGATGCACAATTAAACAATTTCAGTTTTTTTTACATTTATAATTTAAATTGTAAGTAGTTTATGCACTCGTATTTACTAACATGTCAGTATGTATTACTTAGCACAGTTGTTTAACTAATATTAGTTTCAACGTTTGTTTGACATTTTGTGAATTAGTTATGTTATCAATTGACAGGTAATTTATTGAGCACCTTGATTAATTTATATTTTTGCGACTAATATTGTTTGAAGGGTTATACTTAATTAGTTATTTTAAATACATTTGGTATTGTTATATTGTACGTAGTATTATGTAAATATTTTATTTTATTAATTACTTTTTGATGTTTTATCTTTAGCTTCAAAACAAATTATAATGCATATTTACATGAAATTGTAATTTATAGTTTTTGAAAAAAAATATATTTTACAGGGGCCTTTTTAAGAAGCTCGACTCAAGTCCAAACTTAGGTAGGATCGGCACTGGTGAGTCTAGTCTAGAGGTTGGATACTTGAGCCGGAGATGGATCAATTCCTAACAATGGCATCTAATTGTCCCCAGTGAGATAAAAGTTGGGGGGGGGGGGGGTGAAACATACAGTGGAAGTCTTGACCTCAAGAGTGTGGCACTTTATAGTAACAAAAGTTATGACCCTTTAAGTTGTGTGAGAGATGGAGTAAACAAGATACAAATGTGTTTTCCAGAATCAGCTGTTTCAAGGAGCAGGCTGCCAAATTTCTGAAGCTGGCAGCTGAGCCTTTTTGGGAGCAGGCTTCCAAATGAGGCTACTGGATCAATGTTTTGAGACACACAAAGGAACTATGACCTTTGACATTGTTTGACCTTTCGGAGCAGACTAAACACAAAAGTATGAAGGATTTGGACATATTAAAATAGATCACTTTGTTGAGCAGAAACAAGAAGTTTGATTCAGAGTAAATTGGATAGTTTACTGGATAGTGTAATGAGCAAGCTGTTTATTTGAGAAGTAGTGAAGGTGAGTGAGAACTATAATGTGTATTGGGAGCTGAATATAAAAGGTGACACAAGATATATCCTGGTTCAGAGGTGGTGTAATCCTCCTACATCTAATCTCAACCTATTTCAGATGGATTTCCACTAAATGAATATCCCATTACATTTAATGCTCAATCTATCCTTGGCCCATGAATAGATTGTGAGTTTTTTTTACAAGGAATTAGAACACTATTCCAAGCTACTCAGTCCTCCAAAAGGGTTTTCACTAATGGCATTAACATGCTAAAAGGCACTCATGCCCTTGTCCTTCTCTCAACTTCTGAATTTGATCACAAAACTCTCCAGAATGTCTAACACTAGTCTAGTTCACATGGGTACAAACTAAACTAACAACTAGTTCTAAGCTCTAAAGATGTGTGTGAATTTGAGCTAGTCTGAGATCTTAGATGAGTGGGGTGGAAACCAAAGTGGTGAAGGAGAATCAACACTTGTGTTTGCTGAATATGCTCGAGTGATCCTTAACTCCCTTATGTTCCACTTTGCTCCACATTGTTATTCTCGCACTTCTTCTGTATTTATAGACCTATTGTTGAAGCTCCACCGTTGGTTGAAAAGTTCAATCTTGACCGTTGCTTTGATCCATTTTATTTATTCTACTTGACTGAATAGTTCAATCTTGACCGTCTTTGTCTTCTTGTGACATGAACTGAATTTTACTCAACTTGCTATTCCTCTTCTCAATGAATAAGATAAAGGTGAAATTTTTTTATTTATATTCAAAGAGTTGAGTATATAAGTTGGGTATTGTTCAATACTTCTTTACAATAAAATCGCTTGCTTTTAGTAAAATAAATTTATAAGAAATTTTCATTGTGTGGTAAAAGTTTCTAATAAAATTACTCTTTTTTTTTGTCATTTTGACTGCAAGTTGGTCTTTTGTTTTATTATTTTTGTGCTTAAAGAAGAATAGTAGATTTCGGTTGCCTTTTCTGGAAAACCAAAATGGGAGCCA